CCTGCCGCCGCTCGGTGCGGGTCCGCGGGGCGCGAGGAGCGGCGAGACCGCGGCCTGGAACAAAGGGAGGCCGGCTGGGGCGGGGGCGTCGCGAGCATGGCGGACCGCAGCCTGGAAGGCATGGCGCTGCCCCTGGAGGTGCGGGCCCGGCTGGCCGAGCTGGAGCTGGAGCTGTCGGAAGGTAACAGGCCCCGCGCTCAGCCGGCCGCGCTGTCACGGGGGCCGCGGCGCGGGCGGGCGGGCGGGGGTCTCGGCGCGGTGCGAGCGCGGCCCCCGCCCTGCGGCTTCGCGTCGTCGGCCGCGGCCCCGGCCCCGGGGCCCTGGGGAGCCGGACGGGGCCGCGGGGCCGGGGGCGCAGCCGGGGCGCAGAACGGGGCCGCGGGGCCCGGGGCGCAGGACGGGGCCGCGGGGCCCGGGGCGCAGCCGGGGCGCAGGACGGGCCGCGGGGCGGGGGCGGCCTCGCGCGCGGCCTGGCGGACGGGGCCGTGTCCTTGGTGCGCGTCCGAGCGCTGCCCACCGCGGCCGGGCCGGGGGCGGTTCCGCGTTGCGCGGCCTGAGGCTCCGCGGGCCTCGTTCTAATGCGAAACTTGTCTTTGGACTTGAGGTTTGACCGCCGGTGTCCGAGGCATCCTGGCTGGACCGGGATAGTACTACTATTGTTCCCGTCCGCTGGGATGCGAAGGTTGGGTGAAATTGGAAAGCCTCCTCCCTCAGGCCAGGGTCTGTGCCGCGTTCCCATCGTCCCATACTTAGAATTTGTGACAGATTTGCCACAGTGATTTCATGGAGTGTTATATACGGTTTCTTATTTGCTCTTAATGGTGGGATCATGTGCTCAGCTGTCATAAGTTTCAGATCGGATTTTGCTATGTCTTAAAAAAAAACAACCCACTGAAGTTCCGAAATGTTGAATGTTTAATATAGATTTAGAATTCACCCAGCTCACCCTGGGAAGGCCACTAAGACACTGTGGGGTGGGGATAGGCCGGCTTGTCTCGAATTTATATTTGGAGCAGTTTAGTGGTGAACTTGTATGTGTGTGTGTGTAACGGTTTTGTGGGGCTGGCAGCCAGAAAGTAAATTCGTTCGTGCCAGTTTTCATCAGCAGGGAGAAGCTGGTGTTGACCGTATGGTTTCCTTTTTAACACTTTCAGGGTGAAGAAGGGGGTACAGGTGGGGGCCTGGGGTGAAGTGTTTTTTCAGATGTCACAGACTGGAGATGTTTCTGTTTCACATTTGGGGTTCTGCAGGGTTCTGTAATGCTCAACTGTCCCATAGGAGGAGACCGTTTCCTGGACTCTGTGCTCAACAGACACTGTTCTGAAGGGTTGTAGATGATGAGAGTGTTGCTGGTACCTCAGTGCAGTGCCCAGCTGGGTGAACAGTACTTAGGTCTACACTGGTGGATAAGGTGTGCAGTGTGGACAGATTGCTTGGAGGGATGAAGTGCCCATTGGAAAATATTTGCCCAAGTTCTTTGATTTTGTCCATGTTCACATGGGTTTTTCTCCCTCACTTTACAGGCCCCCGTAGCTGTGCACCACAGTTGTGTTATTTACAACACCGTATCATTCATGCATTCTCTCCAGACAAGCACTTTTGCTTTGTCTGTATTATACTGGTGTTAAGTGTCAGTACCCTACCTGTGTTGGCAAAGCGGGAAGCCGTCTGAACTCACCAGGAGCCCTCCACCTCCCCCATCAGTCTGGGATGGGCTCACATTTGCTTCTGCACATCTGGGACAGTGCGTGGTCCCTGGTGGGAGTGGCTGCTTGTGGACGTGGACACTCACCTGCTAGATTGCACTCACCTGTCACCATCAGTCACTCCTAGAATGTGTCCGTGTTGTCCAGGGGATGGCAAACCACTTTAGACCAAGGTGTGCTCAGCCTAGTTCTCTGTGAATTCCTTGTGTCCCTACAGATTTTTAAAAAGGGTTTAATGAGTTTCTTATTGAGTGTCTGGGCAGAGAAAGGGGTGTGTGTTTGCATATGGGAATCACATTATTGTTTTTCTCTCTCTCTAAACTCTGCTAGGCCTGGCTGCCTCACCCAAGAGTAAGAGTCAGAGGGTTGTTGCTTTGGCCACCCAGCCTCAGCCCACATCTCCCCGCTTTAGCTGTGTCATCTTTGACTTGCTTTGTCCATGCTGAGTCGATTGGGTCTCTCTTTAAGGTCATTTGGAATTTTGTGTCTTGTGACTATGTAGAGTAGTTTTACTGTCTTAAATTAGATGAATAACTTGTTTTCCAGTATTGCTTAATAGCAACCAAAGAATGGAGGGATCAGAAATCTGTGCCTCTTTACATTTTAGAACTTAAAATCCCCCAACATAGCCACTTTCAAAGTGAAAAGTTAAAACAGCTTTTAATGCCGAGTTATTTAAGCATATTGCTTTCATATTTTATCTTCAATCAGGATTCATGTGGAGAGAATTCTTTAAATTAGTCTTCATCGTTTTATTAAAATATCAGAACATACTGTGGAAACGTGTGGACGTTCCAGTGCTCAGTTCCTACAAAGGAGCATGGGAAAACAATTCCATTTTAAGCACATAATGTAGGTTGAAAAAAGAGTAGACTCTTCTTTCAAAGTTCCTATATGGCCTGCCAGCTGTTAATGGTTGTATATCTTATCTAGATTAGTAGACGCTGGTGCAGTTTTGGTTTGCACTGTCTGCTGGTGCTGCTGCAGACACTTAGGTTATTTTATTTTATGGGTCACTGTTTGGTAGAGGGTTGCAGATTGACTTCTTGGCTGCAGAAGTCAGATTTTCACTTTCCTGCCCTGCTGGTTGCCTCCTCTTTTCTTTCCACTGTCTGTTGCTACCCAGTGCTTCCCTCTTGGGGGAAAACTGGGCTGCTCTCCCTGCAGAACTGGTGCTAGCAAAGAACAGGAGATTTCTGTGGGGAGATGTGGTGGCTGCCCCTCCTATGGGCAGTAATGGCTTCCAATCCACAGGTCTGGGTAAAGTCTTTGGTATGGAGCCAGGGGTTGTCGGTCTGGTGAATTCTTGGGACTCAACGTGAAATGGAGAGGAAGCCAGTGAGCTGGCTGGTTGCTGGGTGCCAGGTGGGGTAGCGGTGGCTCTTTTCTTCACACACTTATCCCTAAATCATTTTTTTCTTCCGTTCCCTTCCCTTCATTCTTGCCTTTTGGAATCATGCATTTTTCTATTTGGCTTTCAGAGGGCCCCCAAGTAGTTTTATTAATATGTAAATAGACATTATTTGGCTTAAGGAAAAACTTTAAATGGAAACACTGGCAAAGCAGAGAGGAAACAAAATTTCTCAATAAAGACAGACTCATGTCTTATTAAAAAAAATCAGTTGTTGATTGAACTTCAGCAGTAAGTTTCTGTGTTAACTCACGGCTTGTGTCCTGGGCTGTACACACCCTGGACTTGCAACTGTAGACGATATCATCCTACTGTTTCAGGAGTGGTTGAATTCTTATTTTGATAGGACTTTGGGAAATTGCCTTGTGATGTAGCCTGTGAAAACTGTTTGGTGTTTGCAGAAGAGAAGTCCGTTAGCTTTCTACTTTGTGGCTTTTGAATTGTGAGTGTGCTTACTAACTTCCTAACTCTTGCTTATGGGAGTTACTCAGTTTGTAAGGTACAGAATTACTGCAACTATTAGTTATGTTCTGTAATCGAGTCCAACTTAACATTTTCTAGTAAGTGTGAAACTACTCAAGGAAGGAGGTGCGTGCTATCAGTTCTTTGTGTTGGTCAAGGAACGAGTAATTTTTTAAATTGCAGATGAGCAATTCACATGCAGCTGGCATAATCCTGTCACCAGAGTAAAATCTTAAAGAGATGGCCAGTTGGAAGGTTTGTAGATTTGGGGGTGTGTGGCATTTTCAGGGCTGCCAGCACAATATAGCAGATACGCTTAGCTCTAGAACGTGAGTTCTGTCCCCATCAGCCCCCGTGCTTTTCTTGGAGGTCCCTGTGGCTGCAGAGGTGGCCACCCAAACTGAAGCCTGGGACCACCTTCCAGGGTCGGGAAGAGGAGACCTGCTGTCTCTAATGCAACCCAAATGTTCTCATTGAAAGGAAATAGTGGACTCTGGAAAGCAAATGTGTGAAAAAATGCTTTCTTCTAGAGTCTTGTTGATAATTTGTTGTCATTGGGAGGGGAGGAGGGAAGGGGTCAGCAGATTCAGGGAATAATAGCTGAGCCACTCCACTGGGGATCAGACCTCACCATTGTTAAGAAAACCTGTTCACTCTGTCACATCGTCTCAAAGCTGCCCCCAGTAGCTGTACATCCTGTTCACTCTGTCACATCGTCTCAAAGCTGCCCCCAGTAGCTGTACGTATTGTGGTGAATGAAATGGACTACTTGGCTTGATAAATCTAAAAGATTGTTATCTGAATTAAAAATATGTACAAAATGGCAGCATTGATATGTGTGGGATGTGAAATGTGTGGACTTGAATTTTAAGAGTTATTCAGAGTTATGAAAATAGTTAAATTTGAATGTTCTTTTCTTGATGAATAAATATAGATGTCAAATTTAGCCAGGAAATTAAAGGCACACATTAAAGGCACTGATGTGTAAGGTTGATCCCAATGCTCAAAAGATCTTTGTGGTGCTGTATTCATGCTTAGAGCTGAATGTTGTGAGGTCACAGCTGTAACAACGACTCTATTTTGTTTCATTCTGGGCCCACTGGCTTTATATTCTTGTTATGGTTTGGAGGCTACAAGCTGTTGGATGATATGAGTCACTTTTTGCCTTCCTCCTCCCAGCCTTTTTCAAATGGGTTGTCTCTTTTTTTAGAGCTGATTTTTTTTTTAAAGCAGTGATTTATGGGATGAGTTGTAGCATTCTTCTGAATTGCAAAGAGAATGTATTGGATAATCTTCATTTTGATGTCATGTATATAGACTGACTCACCAGTTCAAATCCTAGTCATATTAAGATTCTCATAATTACTCAGGTACCTTACTAAAAGCAGATGCTCACCTGCAGTTATTGGCTTGGTTTTGCACATCAGTGTTTATCCTGGTACATGGAAGGCACCTCAGGTGATGCGATGGGCTCTGGCCAGTGTTTACTGTTCCTGTTCTCCGGTCTCTCCGTCTGTATGCCTCTACTTTCAAGGTTGCCCGTGTTCATTTTCCTTCTTTCATGATCTTTTTGTGTGCCCTACAAAAGTTACCTACTATCAT